GGGTGATGGTCTTGTTAATTTGAAAATACAATGAAATAAAACTAAAGTCAAATGTTTGACTTGAATTCTTTCTAGACTAAAAGAAGTATAATAATATACACGTTCATTAGCCATATGGATTTAGGAATCAATTGAACTAGAACAAACCTCAAACCCAATTGTTTATCCCAGTTCTCCAAATCTGTAAAGTGGAGTTTATTGTAAGTACGTTGTAAGGCTATTGTGGTGTTTGAAACTACACATGTGTATATAAAGGTACTTACATATGTGTTGGAGTATGTATGTAAATCAAATGTATGGCATGTGCAAGCTAAATTACAACTATTATTACTAGTTCTATTATGTAGTTGATATAAATGAAGACATAAAAACTTTATGATCAGAATATAAATGATATATTATATTACATATTATTATATTATTTTGAAATCCAGAGCTGTGTAGAGCTACAAATGTTAATCATGATTACTACTATTCAGACTCCATCCTTGCATGAATCAGAAAAATGTTTTATTCTGATGCACTGCTCCAAAAGTATCTCAGGTTTAGCTAAATGAGTGTACTGTAATGAAAATTATATTAACAAGGATTGTGCAAATTTAGGGTTAGACACGTTATGCTTAGTATGTATCTGTCTCTTTTTCCTTTCTCTAGCTTGCTACATTTCTCTCTTTTTAAAAACTCTTTCAACTATTCCAGTAGATAAATATATCTGCATATGTTACAGAGATATTTGCATATGTTACAGAAGAAACAGCATTGTATAATTTATAAATTCTCATCAACAACTTGATATAATTAAGACTTATTAATTTCCGGACTGAATATCAACCAAAATATGTTTACTGGTTACATTGAGCACTTGATAGTTTAGTCTCAGATTTAATGACCTGTAGGAAGTGAAAAAAATACCATTATTAATTTACATTTCTTAAGAAAACATTGAATAATAATCACATATCTGCTTCACAAGGAAGAATAAAATCAGAGCCATAATGCAATTTTCCATAATATCTAAATGACAATACATTGCTGATTTTGAATAAGAAATTATAATCTCACAGTGTTACTGGATGCTAGAAGCATTGTTTAACATATGTTTTAGATGACATTTATATATATTGCCCAGTTGGCTTTATTTTTTGTATATACAGAATTCTGCCTTTTCAAAATGACTTGTGATAAAATGAAGTACGTTAGCATTTAGTTTAACATCAGAAGAGAATCAACTTTAGAAGTATAGTTTTCTGTTGTCCAATTTCAAAAACACTATTGTAATGTTGTGGAAGATTAATTTTGTTTATTTTTTTCATTTTTGTCTAAACACAAATATGGTACTTGCAGAATAGGTAAATGACATTTAGGTGGCACTGATACTAAAATCTACATTTTTAATTTTAATGATATTTCTTATGCTTTGGAATAGAACAACTCTGGAGGAGAATAACAATTTATCCTTGTGAAAATAATATTGCTTCAGTAACATTTCATTAGACAAAATAACAATGTTATTTTTATCATTCAAAAAATACAGTACAATAGAATTTAAATGATATACATGTGCTATGCTAATGAGATAAAGATAAGGCAAGATCTGTGGCACATTATAAGTCCTCCTTTGAATTCTAGAATATATTTGGTATTGAAAGTTTTTGTATTACTTCCAATAAAATGTAATGTGGTCAGAGTGTCCTTGCTTTTTTAGCTCAGATTTCTTTTGTTATAGTACTTTCATAAGCACAATGTATAGATTATACACATATGGTTAAATTTTATTAAAAAGTAATTCGAGACATCATAAAAGTTATACAAGAATGCTCTATCAAAATGACTCAATTCATGAGTTAGAAGTTGCTTGGTGGATAAAAGCCACTTTCAAGTGGATCATTTTCTTCAATTGTAGATGTTTCTGGCCTTTTGCAAGCTTACTGTGATGAAGTGTTCCTCTTCCATTTGTCTCACTCATCTGAAATGGTTTCCCCTTAACTGGTGGATCTGAATTGCATCCAAATGATACTGATTTATAGGATGCTATGAGTTAGACTCTACATATCCAGACATGTTTGTATACAACCCACACGACACCATTCCTCACATTAAAGCCTAAGAGAATTGTTTCAGTTTTAACACTGTAAACTGGGGCAGGAAATATGTGAATTTTTAAGGTAGGTAATGAGAGCGAGCGATGAAATACAGAAAGCTTTGAGAGAGCTAGCATGTGTCCAGAAACAACAGCAGGTGTGGCCATATGGCAATCAAATTAGCAAAGGCATTCTTGCCACAGAAGGCATAAAGCCCTGCAGCCCTCATGGAGAGATGGCTCACTCAGTGAGTGCACTTTGCATCGTTGAGCTTACCTCCTTCCACTGTTCAGTTCTGAGGGGAATTTAAATCTATTGTAATAAATACACATTGAAAACATTTTTTAGAGTAAAAATAATTTCTAATTTCACTTTTGCATTTCTCAGATACCATTATACCAAAAGCACATTTCCAAAGAAAGCATTCCCTAAGCAAGCTTTATATGGAAAAGCTGAATGACTGTTACTTAAACAAAGTGTTTGGCAATGCTAAGTTTTTTACTCTCTTCATTGAAAGACAATCACTAATCATATAAACATTATTTGTACAAGTCTTTAATTTGTATGATAGACAGGCAGACAGACAGACAGACAGACAGACAGACAGACAGACAGACAGACAGACAGACAGACAGACAGATAGATAGATAGATAGATAGATAGATAGATAGATAGATAGATGTAGAGATATTTCTAGGGAATCTTGAAGCACATATTCCTATAAAGTTTATTTCCTGGAAATTTATTATAGCTCTCAGATTACCTCTCCAAAACTTTGACCTACAAACAAGGACAATATTATTAATACTCATTCTTACATTTATCATCAATATTGTATTGTAGCACTCGGATTCTAACAACATTCTTAGGATGAGAGTATATTCTAGGAGAATGTCTCTGCTTGTCCTTTGTTTTTACCCTGAGGGAAAAATATGGTCTGTGGAGAATCAGAAAAATTCCCCTAGCTCACTCAAGTCTAACACACGCATCCTTTATGAAGGTGATGACACCTCCACATCAGTAAGAAGGGAAAGGTTCATGTATGAAACTTGAGTTCTCAGGTTGATTTCTATTTATAGGCAACACCATACATAGATTTTCTATCATCAAGTTTTTGAACAACACAACAAAAGCATAATGAATTACTCAAACAAAATGGGGAAGAATTTAAGTATTGATTACCTCACCAATAGTATTTTTTCTCAAGCATGATAATTATGTGTATTTTGAATAGAAAGAAATTGCCTTCTCTAGGATGAATAGATGAACTGAAAGTCTTTCATTGTACTTTTATTAAAATTAGTTTATATGTGTTTCACTTAATAGAAAGATAAATGTCTAGAAATTGATTTTCTATCATCTATCATCTATCTATCTATCTGCTATTCTCTCTTGATCCATTGATTAATTGATGGTGTTGGGAAATGAAAGCCGGGCCTTGTGCATTTCAGGCAAGTGCTTTGCCACTGAAGCCCTCTTTCGGAAGCCCTCAACTTTTCTAAAATGTAACCTCTTGTCATGTGCATAGATCTATACTTTTTTGTTGCCAATAGTGAGACTTGAACATAGGTCCTAGGTGCTGCCCCTTAGTTTTAGTCACTCAAGGATGGCATTCTATCGCTTGAGCTCCACTTCTGGCATTTTGCTCATTAATTGGGGATTTTCCTGCCTGAGCTGACTTCAGCCATGTTCCTCAGATTTCAGCCTTCTTCATAGTTAGAATTATAGATATAAACAACCAGCACCTGTCTTACTTCTCCTTTTTTTAAACTTTTATAATATTTTATCAGAGAAAAGCAAATATTTTATGTATCAATTACTTTATTGATAGATATTTTTAAGTTGTATTCTTTGTAGCTTTCCTGGTATTCTATTATTGCTTAGGTTTAACTATCATTTGTGTAATTACAAGAATACTTTAAGTCCTTAAGATTTGTAGGCTTACAGTACAGCAAAACATTCTTGGATATTTGCTGCTGAAAGCATTTCCTTTTTAATTATGCTTCAGATGTACCAGTTTGGCAAATAATTCAAGATATTATTTTTAACATCAAATATAATTTGTTCAAAATTTACATTAATCTTTCTCATAACGAGTCACTTCCATTTTGTCTTCCTGTCATCCTGGAGAATGGAAGTGTAATTTCCCAGAGGCTTTAAGAATTGGGGGAGTATTAAATGTGGCTGAAATTAAGTGATTAATAATTCACTTTTAGGTCATGAATCAACTTCATGAGATGCTAAGGATAATTTGCAACCCCAGAAGTATGAGCAGTAACAATGCACTTTTTTAAGACTCAAGAACTCTCAAAGGTTGGCTGCCCAAGCTAATTAAACTTCAGTCGTCTGATACCAAATTTATTTCTTCTTTGTACTGAATTTCCTCAGATCTTCTTGACAGGAAAATGTCACTTTCCCTGACAGCTGATAGACAGGTTATGTAGCACTGTAATTGGAGAGAAAAGGATAGCTTAAAGCTACTTGTTTTAATGGCTCTATGCATGGCCTTTTCATTCTTTTTCCTTCCTTCCTTCCTTCCTTCCTTCCTTCCTTCCTTCCTTCCTTCCTTCCTTCCTTCCTTCCTTCCTTCCTTCCTTCCTTCCTTCCTTCCTTCCTTCCTTTCGTTCTTTCATTCTTTATTGTTTCCCATAAGATTTCTATGACAGGCACAAAAGGCCTTAGCAAATAGGCCCAGTGCGATTTTTCCCTGCTTCCTCAAGGGGTAATTATCTTACTCCATCAATAGTGCTGTCAGAAATTGGGCACATAATTCAGCATTTAAATGAACAAGCAATGTAATATTTCCTGTCTCCCAGTGGAATGCTTTGCAGCTCACATTCTTCTCTGTCACTCGCTCATTCTTGATATATGTCCACTACCCTGTCTTTGAGTATTTCTCTCCCTTGTGTTTCCCTGCAGATGTTGGCTCCGACTTGACACCTACTTCATTTGGAGTTTTATAGGACCAGCGACCTTGATAATTATGGTGAGAATTCCTAATTAACTATGTATTTTCCACATCAAGAAATAAGACTTTAGCCATTCCTGTACTGACTTTAATTTACATAGGTTAATTTGAGGTGAAGCATGTACTTATTTGACCCTACATAACTCAAGCAATTAGGCACTCATTATATGCTACTTTTATACTGTAAAATAGTTAATCTAAACCTGCAGGAGAAAAATACATGAATGTGAAGTGTTTTGCAATCTGTGGCCACTTACAAATCCAATCCAATTTAGTCCATTTAGTTATATAGATAATTAAGCAATGATAACTTCAACAATAGTATATTTTCATTTTTTTTCTTTGGGATAATTTGAATTGAGAGTGTGGAGGAATGAGAAAGATGGGAAAATACCTATTTCTTCCAGTTTTGTCATGTCTCTTTAAAACGAAAGCTTAATAGAATTTACTTGGGCACAGCCCAATTAAGCAGGCATTCTGAAATCATGCTTCTCATTTTATTTTCAGCTGAATAATATTTTTATTTCCAATACAATTTTTATGTTTAGATCAAAGTATTAGTACTACTCTTTATTAAAAATATAGTTACTGCCAGCTGTGAGTGACTCATGCCTGTAATCCTAGTTACTCAGATGGCTGAGATCTACTGATCCTAGTTTGAAGCCAAACTGGACAGAAAAGTTCCCATGAGTTTCAAATTAACCACTCAAAAAACCAGAAGTGGCACTGTGCCTCAAGTGTAGAGTGCCAGCTTAAAGCACAAAGAGATTCAGCACCTAGGCACTGATTTCAAGCCCCACAACTGACTGAAAAAAATATATGTGTATAGATGCTACTTATTTTTGTTATCCTTTTGTCTTTGAATAAAATATAGGACCACAATTTCTTATTTTGAACTATTGGGATAAAAATATTTTGGAAGTAAGAAATGTTTCAGAATATGGAAAGGCAATATGATCTATATACTTTATATGTACATACCTACATTGGTACATAACATACATACATACATATATAAACAGTAAGAAATAGGATATTGCTCCAAATGAAATATATTAACCATTATTTTTATAAGAGATGAATAAAAGCTCATAGAATACTGACAATGTGCAGTTATGTCAACACAAATCACGTTTTCCTCTGCAAATGTACTCAGTTCAAGTCAGGTTTATTAAGTACCCAATATATAAATCATGTATTTTTGCTAATACTGGGGCTTGAACTGAAGGTCTTGTGCAATTTTAGCAATTTTTCTCAAGGGTGACATCATACTACTTGTGCGACATCTCCACTCTGTTAATTTGCTGATCATTTGAAGATAAAAGTCTCTCAGAGTTGTCTGTCCTAGCTGACTTAGAACTGAGGTCCTCAGATCTTAGCATCTTTAATAGCAAGGATTGTAGACATGAGCCATTGCATTTAAATTTTTACTTTTAATATTGTTTTGACTTAGGGATAAATGATAAAAGTTATCAGGCTATATTGTAGGGAAATTTTAATGGGGCTTTTAAATTAAATTTCTAAACTGTAAAAAGTATAAATGAGTCAAATGCCAAAGGACAATGTAATATGTGATTTTCTGTGCAGTTTATATATAAATGGCACAGATAGTTTACACTGGAATTCTTGGTTCTAATTCATATGCTTTCTCTAGTCTCAATGACAAAAGAATATCATGACAGATTGTAATATCAGAATTTAACCAATACTTTCTAATCCTTTTAAGAATGACATATAGGTATTTGTTTAAGAATGAGCTGATTTTATGTATGTATGTATGTATGTATCTATCTATCTATCTATCTTTTTTTTTTGTCAGTTGTGGGGCTTGAGCCTGGCATGGGCACTGTCCCTGAGCTCTTCAGCTCAAGTTGAGCACTATATACTTGAGCCACAGTGCCACTTCGGTTTTCTGGTGGTTAATTGGAGATAAGAATCTCATGGACTTTCTTGCCCTGGCTGGCTTTGAACTTTGATCCTTAAATCTCAGCCTTCTAAGTAGCTAGATTACAGGCGTGTGCCACTGGCACTGGGTGATATATGTATTTTTATAATGTAGCATTTGAATCACAATAACTTCATCCAAATGTTCAGGGTATAGAAATAGTAGCACTCAGAAGCCCTAGAGAAATAATAATCTTTGTTTGTTGGTGGCTTGTGTTTATTTAAAAAAAATACACTGAGTGTTGAAAGATTTGTCCATCAAGATGAGTACCTGTTGTCCTAGCTTCTCAGGAAGCTGAGAAATGGAAGATCAGTATTTGAGACAAACCTGGTCAGAAAACCATGAGACTCCATCTTCAAAAAAGAAACAAGCAAAAAGCAGGTCAGAAGCATGTCTCAAGTGGTAGAATAGAAGTTGAGAAGCAAACCAAGCAAGCACAGGGCTCTGAGTACCACCAAAGGGGCAAAGGAGCAGTTTTCTGTCATTCTAAATTGCTGCTGATTTTGTGTGATTTGGGCACAAAGAAGGCTTTGTCCCACATTCCTCCAACTGGCTTCTTGCCCTTTGCTAAAATACTAGGCAGGCGCTGGTGATCAAATTCCTTTAAATGTACACTCAATACTAATTTACCAGAACGACTCGTTTGTAACAGAAAATAGACTTGCCTTTTTCTTTACTGTGGTTATGAACCATAACATTACCTTTTTGCATTCCAGCTTAATGTAATCTTCCTTGGGATTGCTTTATATAAAATGTTTCATCACACTGCCATACTGAAACCTGAATCAGGCTGCCTCGATAATATCAAGTAAGTGATTTTCATTTTTGTTTGCTACGTATTGTACTCTGCAGCTATGCCGGCTTTTTATTGTGTCAAAACAATATGACTACATTATTATGAAGGTCAGTGTACTGTCTATGCTGAGTAAGTTCATTTATTGACTCTTGAAGTACCTGAAAACAGTACAGTACAGCTCTCTAGTTTACCCACTTTTCTTCTAAAAGTTTTGAGTGAAATCTGTAGTCACTTTTTCCTCAAAAGAGATAGAAAATTTCCTGAAGAGAATAGTCAGTTCTTCTCCAGATTAATGACTACTTACATTCTCTCACATTCTTCTCTCTACTTTGAATATGACAAGGACAAGATGGCACCTGCAAGTAGCAAAGTAGGATTTTACACTTCCAGAGAAGACTGCATTAGGTGAAGAATCTGGATATCTGCAACTAATCTGTCTCCTTGTCAGGAAAGAGGGAGGGAATCTTACCTAACATACATGTATGGGTTGAGCATCCCTGATTTGAAATATTAGGATCAAGGTTATTTCAGGTATTTAAGTTGTCTTTTCTTTTTTAAATTTGGAATATCTGTATGGATTTTATTGCTGAGAAATCCCTACTCTAAAAATCTCAAATTAAAAATGCTTCAAAATCTGAAATGTTTTGATTCATCATTTGGAATTTCAGAGCATTTTTGGATTTAGGATTTTTCAGTCAAGTAATAGCCAAATTTGCTTTGAATGATAAATACTTAGCTCTGGGTTTATTGTACTAACATAACCTCCTGGGAGAGGTTGAAACTTTCTGAAGAAACATTCCTTGGAATAACAAAAAGCAAAAATAAATATATTTTGCTTACTGCTTAGCATTATTGATATTTGCAAAACATAGTAATGGTTAGGTGCATAGTTATTATTAATATGCATGATATTATAAATTGGATTTTCTTATGGTCTGCTTATATATGTGTTAATGTGGAACCATAGTTTAATTTAAATGGATGCACATTCAAAGTTTTCAGGAGGTCACCTGTAACTATCATGTCCTTACTCACATTCTGGGAGCCACTTCAGACAGCAGTTGTCATTCATTTTCCATCCTACTGCACCTGCCATTGCCCACAAGGAGGCCTCCAATGCGTGTTAAAATAAATAAATAAATAACAAGGAAGTGGAGGTGTGGCTCAAATGGTGGAACTCTAGGCTTGGAGTGAAAGAGCCAGAGCCAAATCAGAGAGGAAGCCCTAAGTTCTAGCACAACAAAACAAAACAAAACGGGACTGGGAAGGTGTCTCAGTGGTAGAGTGCTTGCCTTGCTTTCATGAGGCCCTGGGTTCAATTCCTCAGCACCACATAAGCAGAAAAAGCAGGAAGTGGCACTGTGGCTCAAGGGGTAGAGCGCTAGCCTTGGGCTTAAGAGCTGAGGGACAGTGCCCAGGCCCAGAGTTCAGGCCCCATGACCTGAAAAGGAAAGGGAAAAAAGATCAGTATACCAAAGATTTTAATGACAAGTATTAATGATACTAAACAGTTAATTCCAATGAAGAAATCATTTGTCAACATTAATTGCAAAGGAGAAGCAAGGAATTCGAAAGATAAAAACATCATAAACTCAGAATATCTGCTCTGAATAATTACTTTTTATAATTCTTAATTTTACTTTGTTGACATAATAATCATTCTAGTGCTGAATTATGTACAATTAAATTGTCATTCTAAAATATAATGTTAGTTACATGGACTATTCATCATAAAAATGAATTTGAATAAGTCAAATAGTACCACAAAATATATTTTCTTTATCATAGAATATATTTCTCTAGTGAGACTAAGCTATGCATTTATATCTGTTATCTTGTATCCTAAAACAAGATGTAAATAGTTATTTATCATTTATTATTTAGTTCAAAAACTATCAGAAAGAAGTGACTAAAAATATTATTTACATAACATCCTTCACTAGCTTGAAAAGTAGAGACAATGATCATTCTTTGTCCTATTCTACAAGTATATTTTTAAGTCAGTTTTATGACATTTTTGTCCAAAGCATTAAAGATGAAGACGTTTTCTTTATAACATACTCAGTACAGACCTTTTAAATGTTTAATTTGCTCATTATTTGTATTTCTCTAGATGATATTGATTGGTAGTATTGTTTAGACAAACAATGAAGCACATAAAAGCTAATAATTATATTTAGTGACATTGATGGTATCAAGTTTTATAAGGTAAAGAATAAAAAACACCCCAAACTAAAAATAAAACCAAAACCATAAATGACATTATCTTGATTTCAATTTTGTCTCAATAGCTTGCTATAGTCCAAGGATATAGTTCACCTGTATTGACATCTAAAATCCTGAGTGCTCTGCTGTATTCAGTCTCAGGATTGAAAAATAAATAAATGCCTAGATAAAATAACATATAAACTGCTAGGATAGTGTTTTTGGAAGTATTTATCTTTTCTGAGATTTCTCTTTTTTGCTTTAAAGTGGCAGGAAGAGTGAGGAAATTACCTACACATCAAATAAGTGAAGAAATATAAAACAATCTTTGATGAATAACTACAGAAAAAAAAATCTAATGAGGGAAAGCAAGAAAACTGAGTATTAGAAAACCATGGTTTTAAGATGGAAGAAAAACCATGATCTGGTTAACAACTTCAGAGAAGGAATCTGGCAGATAGTGGGATCCAGAGAAAAGCTAGAACAACTTTACTACATCAGATTTGAGGAAGGGCATTCCTCTACCAAACTAACAGAAGCCAGAAGAGAGAAGCAGTTTTGCTAAGGTGGATTAAATAACCACAATCATAGCATAGATAGGTGAATGGAAGCAAGGTTAGAGCAGTTGTTTGAAGGATATCTACTGACTCTCCTGGACAAAATAAGATATGTTCTTCCATGTTGGAAAAAGATCAAACATCTCAAGAAATGTTACTTACTACTTCATAGAATCTGAAGGAGATTTAATTACATTTAAATGCATTGTATTTACTTGTAAAAAGTGAGCTTTGAAATCAACAGGGCAAAATTGAGAAAGGAAGAAGGATCTGGACAAATTGTTTGGAACATTAAACAAGATGCAAAAGCTGTCATCTTTTTAAAACAAAATTTTATTTATATAATGTATATTTATATGATATAGGTAATATGAGAGTTCTTTTTAAAGATGCAGACATCATTTATCTGATAATACTTTTTAGTATACGTAGGAAGGCATGGAAGTTTGAGGAGTATTTTGAAGGAAGGTAGTTTTTTTTTTTAATGTATTTTTTGCAGGGGTGAAAAAGGTTGACCACCGTGCTCAGTATATGAAGAAAAATATCACCACATTACGCTTTTTGGAAATCAATCTTTCTTTCTCTCTTTCTTTCTTTCTTTCTTTCTTTCTTTCTTTCTTTCTTTCTTTCTTTCTTTCTTTCTTTCTTTCTTTCTTTCTTTCTTTCTTTTCTCTCTCTCTCCTTCCTTCCTTCCTTCCTTCCTTCCTTCTTTCCTTCCTTCATTTGTTCTTTCTTTCTTTCTTTTTGTACCAGTCCTGGGGCTTGCATTTGAGGCCTGGGTCCTATCCCTGAGCTTTTTCCTCAAGGCTAGGGCTGTACCACTTAACCCAGAGCCTCCACCTCTGGCCTTTTCTGAGTAGTTTATTGGATAAAAGAATCTAATGGACTTAACTAACTGGGCTGGCTTTGAACTGCCATCCTCAGATCTTGGCCTCCTTAGTAGCTAGGATTACATGCATGAGCCACAAGAGCTCCATGGAAAGCTGTCTTTAACTCACCAAATATTTAGTATTTTCTCATTGTACAATTCCATTCCTTCATTGTATATATATATGTATATATAATATATATGATGCATATATAATATATACATATATGTATATATATATATATCATTTAAATGTTTCTACTTTTTTCTAGATACATATAACCTACTCAATTTACTTTCTTTCTCCTTATCACTGCCAATATTTACTTTTAGGCAGATATTATCATTTCACAAAATGTCAGCAATGGTTTCTAATCATTTCTCTTCCTTCCTCATATTAAGGCTAGCTCCTACTCCCTCAAGCCAGGGAGATCTCCTGAAAAATAGTAATTCAGTCACGCAGGTCTTTAGGGCAAAACTCTGTGAGAGGTTCCCATCACTCTGATCCAGCCCAGTCCACCAAACTTTCCTGCTTTTTGCTCCCTCTTTCTTCAGGGTTCTTTTCATCCATTTGCCCCTCTGGCCATTTTAGGTAAGCTCTCTTTGGTCTGTGGTCTTATCTCTACTGTTCCTCTTCCCTAATACTTTGTCCAACTGGCTTCTTTTAACCATAGTTAGTTATCATTTTATTTAAAAGTAGCTATTTCTTGATTCCAGAAGAGTGGCAGAGTTATCATAAACTCCTGTGAGGGTAACAAAGAACATTTCTATGACTGTCTCATCACTGTGTAATAATACACTCTTGAAAACAATAAACAATAAGTGTCTGATTGATTACAGAGAAAATGAGGATCCCAATTCTCAGGTTTAACTTAAAAAGTAATTTAAAGTAAACAATACATGCCTATTTGCTGGTTGTTGATGCGTAATTTGTCTCTTTTCATGAAAGTAGATAATTAGAGTGAGAAATAAAAAGTAATTCCAAGAATTTGAAATTTCTGGTTGAGTTTCTCATGCATGAAAAACAGAATATAAAGTAATCATAGCAAAAATCTAACCTAATTAAAAATAGTAGGTGTAAATAAGAAGCAGACTATTATTGAACTGATACCAGCCAAAATTAACATGCAACATACCTGAAGCATTGTGAAATACAAAACTTGAATTTGTGAGTTGTGCAAATAAAACACCAGCAGTTCTCATGATCACTCATTTCTATTGCTGCAAGGTATTTACAATATTTTTAAGTATTTTTATTAAGTAACAACACAACTTATTTTCAAGAATGAATAGAAAGAATAGAAGTTTGAGTCCTAGGCATGAAAAGATGTGCCTATTTGGAAAGGGCACGTAGTTGACTAGGTTTGCTTTCCTTTCCTATG